GGCTACCAGCAGTCAAATGAGAAACACCAGAAAACATCCAATAAAATGTTATATTTATCAGGAAAACCGCATGGTAAGTTTTATTTATTAGTATTTATTATTTTATTTTAGCCGCTTAGTTTCGATTTTATTCTTAATGTCAAGGTCAACAAAATGTCTTCGGAATTATTTTTTTGTTTTTGACAAAATTGAAAGATGCGTATCATACATAGGGATAGATATTTTTTTTAATTTTTTGAGTACGTATTATTTTCGAGAAGTTACGGTATTTCTTAGTCATTGCCGATGTATTTGTCAATCCAATTTTATCAAAGCAAGTTTAAGTGCGAAATGTCTTTAGTTATATTAAAATCAAAATATTAAAAACGGAACGGTCTTGCGTTAGCCGCCATCTGGATATTGCCATTTACGCATGCGTGTTTCCTTTTCAATAGTTTGAATTTAATGTAACTATAAAAAGCATTTCACATTTAAAGTTGACTTGATAAAGTCGGATTGACAAAACACGTCAGCAAGGACTAAGAAATACATTTTCCAATTGTCTTTTTATCCAAATTGTCTTATCTTCAGAATTATTCTAAGGAATTTAACAAGAATTTTGTTCTAAATTCATTGAAAAAGATTGTACAGCCTTTATCATACGATGGCATTAGAAGCGTTTAGTTTTAATTTTCATTCATAAAGATCTCTTATTTGATTGTGATAGTTGTTAATTCAATTTTAATCATTTATTGCAATATATTGTTTGTTTTTTTTTTTTTTGTACAAATTTACAAATCAACATATTTATTTATTTAATAAGATTGCCAAAATGTTGGTCATGTCTCTGCAATTAAATAGCATTATAGTTGTAAATTCATCCAAAAAAGTTCTTTTTTTAATTATATCGTGACAGCTGTCATAGAATGTATTTTGTTTTAAATTGGATTAATTTTCTTGTAAAACAGTGTTAGAAGAATTTAGTTCTAAATTTATTGAAAATATTCACTTTTAATTGAATAGTGACAGCTGGCATGCATTTTAATGATTTACACCCAAAATATTTTGGGGTTTTTTTTATCATAAGATGGCATTAGAAGCATTCAGTTTTAAAATCAACCCTCACCAGAAATTGTTCCTTCAAATTTCAGGTTATTGAGAACTTTATAGAATTCTTATAATGGAAAAAAAGATTCAGTTCTCTGGAAGATTACAAAAGCCAACCAATGCAGTTCTTTACTGAAGGTTTTGGAAGAATCGTTTTGAAAAATGTCAAATGTGGTGTTCAATAAATTTAATATGGAAATTTAACAAATTCTCTTTGATAACTAAAAATAAGAATAAAAATTTAAAAAAACAAATAAACTTTTGATGTTTCTCAATAGAAAAAAAAAGATATTTTTAATAATCACAGATTTCTTTAAAAACAGCGGAGAGAAGATTTTAGAATCTTTTTAACTCCTTGGTGATGTTCTTGCTTTGGATTCCATAAAATTGTTGACCCAGTTCTGAACCTCATCTTTCAGTTAAGTCATCATTTAAAATGGCAAGTAAAAAAAAACAAAAAACGGCGGCCATTTTGGAATTGCATCTCCATTCACGAAACATTCTGTCTTCCTGCAATAATCAATTTTATAGCCATTCAAACAACCCTTACTCTTCAGAAGCAATTATTATGGAAGCACTGTTGAGTGCTGGCCATTTTTTTTTCTGCTTTTCTTATCTGTTCCTCTTGAATCTATCAAATGCAACAATTTGGCAGGGAGATTACTCGAAAGGTCACTGATTTTTCTGCTTAATGTTAGTCCTGCTGATAGCAGTTTTATGTCGTTCTTTATTTAATAAATTATTCAGAGGAGGTTGTTGCTTTTAATACAATATTTTAGACAGTGTGTTCTCTTGCCTTCCTCATGCCATCAGAAATGACAGGATGAAGAAATATGATTTTTTTCATGAATTAATCTGTCGAATATCTTCATATTTGTTGTTTTCTAAGAAGCACCGTGATGATCCCATGGCGTATTTAGACGATTATCATCATACTTGTTGTGATCATGACACGTTTATTCTTTGACATTCCTATTAATCTTTGAAGTCCTTGGATGCAATATCTATAATCATATCACATTGAAATACCAGTTCTCATACAATCACCAATGTTAAGCAATGTTGAACCTGGCCAGTATCTAGATGGGTGACTACTTTGGAATACTATGTGCTGTAAACCTGAATGTAATGGATAATGGCTGGGAATTGTACATCAGTGAGCCAAGTTAATATTAATAATATTATTTATATATAATAAATTAGATATATATATAATTTATATATATATATATATATATATATATATATATATATATAACCCTTCCTTTAAATATCCTTCTCAGAGATGAGGTATTATGATTACTATTATCCTCATCTTCATTGCCATATTCACAATGTTTCGTCCATTTAACCTTGGATGGCAACTGGTCTACCGCCGAAAGAAATGGCAACCTACTGCGGGAAAAATCTGCCTCGTCAGTCAAGTATCGAAAGATACATGATCGCCTAAGCATGTATTCCGCATAACACATAACTGAATAACGTGCTAATACCCTTGGGAAATGTATGAATCCTCTTCTTCTCCCCCCCAGCTATGGGTAAATAGCAGGACTGACCGGGTTCTATAGCCTTGGATGACTGGTCTACCACATAAAGAAATGGCAACCTACTGCGGGAAAAAAATCTGCCTCGTCAGTAATGTATCGAAAGATACGTGATCGCCTAAGCATGTATCCCGCATAGCACATAACTGACTGATATTCACTTACGTGCTAATACTCTTTGGAAATATATGAATCCTCTTTTTCTCCCCTCAGCTATGGGTAAATGACAGGACAGACGGGGTTCTATAGCCTTGGATGGCAAGTACGGCGAATAACAAGAAATGGCAACCTACTGCGGGAAAAAATCTGCCTCGTCAGTCATGTATCGAAAGGTACATGATCGCCTAAGCGTCTATCATGAATGGCACATAAGTGACTGACATCCCCATCATTGAGATTTTTTTCTCAAGAGCAACGTATCTGTTTAGTTTTGCATCCAATATGTAAACAAAGCAATTTAGAAATTAATGGATTTATTTTTAATCCGACATTTTTTATGACTTCAAACATTATTATTATTAATAGTTACCCATATTTGAAATAGACGCCCCATTTTTATTTATTAAACAGTGTGTAATATGTCTATCGGTTTGCGCATTCGAGAAATCTTAGCAAAGAAAATGTACCCCGTGGCAGTGATCGAACCTGTACACCCCTTGTAGGAGGGAACTACCTTTTAATCAGACATGCTTTGATTGGTTTGTTTTTTATGGTTTATCAACCTTTTGCGGATTATCAAGAACCAAAAAATATTTTTAGATTGTAAAATTTTTTTAACGATAATAATGGTTTAGTGACACAATTCTTGATAATTAACCCCAAGCTGGGGGTAGAAGAGGTGGATTCGTATCTTTTACAGATATTTGTGCGTAAAGGTATATTCAGCTCTTTGATTAACAATTCCGAGCCAGTATCCATTATACCACCTGCACACCAATCTTACAATACCTGATATTTCCAAGCCGTCACCGATCCAAGTACTAACTGTTTTTTGGGGTTTTTTTTTTAAGTGGATCTATTTATGCTTATTTGTATTTGACTGTGTGTGGTGTATGATGAATGTGTGTCTACGCTAAAGCTTAGATTATTTATATGGGTGTGTTTGTACGAACTAAAATGCACACACCGGTATGTATGTGTGTCTATGTCTGTGAAACTATCATCCCAAACACAGAAGAACCTCCCAGGCCTCTACCACAAACAAATAATCAAACACAACTGCTTAACTGACCATGTCTTTCCAAGGCACTCTCTTCTGCGCGTGTGGAAGAGAAAGCTGAAATATGGAATGAAGATCTGGCATTGCACTCTTTCTGCTTCCATCGTTGTATTCTGATCTCCAACAATTGGTTTCGTCTTTTACCAGTCGTTGGGAAACCCTTTTTTTAGTTATATAAGTAAAGAAAAAAGAAAAAGAAAGGAACAAAGAAAAAGAAAGAAAGAAAAACGAAAGAATGAAAAAAAGAAAAAGAAAGAAAGAAAGAAAGAAAGAAAAAGAAAGAAAGAAAGAAAGAAGAAAGAAAGAAAAAGTAATGGAAAGAGAGAAAGAGTAAAAGAGAAAAACAAAGACATAGATAAAAGGGAAGAAAAAGAATGCAAGCGAGAAAAGAGAAAAAAAGAGTTCTGAAACGAGAAAAGAGAGAAAGAGTAAAAGAGAATAAAGAGCCGTTGGGAAACCCTTTTTAATCAACATGGCACCAGTCACTGCGACCATCTCCGAGCTGTTCCCAGCCACTAGAGTCGATGCCGGTGAAATTCAGGCGACTCTTACAAACGTCCTAGAAACGTGGATAAGGGGGGGGGGCTACCAGTGTCCCGTGTTCCGTTCATCGACTATGATGTCGTTTGGTAGACGACCGTCATTCATTCGATGTACGTGACCCAATCATTGAAGAGGGCATTGACAAAAGGTAAAGATGGACACTTCAGGAGTCTACTTACTCCAGTAGTGTTGGTAACTTTGTCTCACCATGTGATGCCGAGGATATGACGTAGGCAGTGGAGATGGGAGCTTTCCAGGCCGTTTTCTCTGCCTGGGGTAATATTTTGCTGCCGTAGAGCAGAGTGCTAAGGACACATGCCTGGAATACTTTCAGCTGACTGTTGTCCTATACTCTCTTGCTCAATTTAGCCATCAATGTCGTCGCAAACATTATACAGAGAATATTTGAGATCAAAATTCAAATAATATTTTCGATACAGGCTACCGAATTACTTATCCCCTCTCCTGCGAGAGATGCGATCGTTTAGTTCGTAGCCTGACACGAAAATTGTATTTTTTTTAATAAATTCACAAATACAGACGATATTTTTTTTTTTTTTTTTTTTTTTTTCTGTCAATCATTTTAATTTACCGTCTTCCATTTTTTCATGTTTTTCTTTTTTTTTCTTTTCTTTTCTTTTCTTTTTTTGGGGGGGTTTAAGTCTCTTTTGTTGACTTTTATTTTCATTCATAAAATACAATGTTTTCTGTTTTTCTTTCTCTTTTTCTCTTTCGTTCTTTCACTATTTATTTTTCTCTCTCTCTTTCCCTCTCTTTCTCTATATGCTTTTTTCTTTCTTTCTTTTCTTTCTCTTTTCCTCTTTCCTCTTTTTTGTCCCATCTCTATTTCCCTTTCTATCTCTCTCTCTCTCTCTCTCTCTCTGTCTCACTTTCCTTCTGTCTGTCTCTTTATTCTTATTTCTTAATTTTTCTCTCTTTTTAGCTCACTTTTTTCTCTTTCTCTCTGTTCCGTTCTTTTTATTTATCTCCCTTACGCTCTCCTCCTTTCTAGCTACCACAATTTATTTTCTCTTACTCTTTCTCTCTTTTCTCGTTTCAGAACTCTCTTTTTCTCTTTTCTCGCTTGCATTCTTTTTCTTCCCTTTTATCTATATCTGTTTTTCTCTTTGACTCTTTCTCTCCTTCCATTACTTTTTCTTTCTTTCTTTCTTTTTATTTCTTTTTTTCTTTTTTCTTTTTTTTTTCTTTCTTTCTTTCTTTCTTTGTCTTTCTTTCATTCTTTCGTTTTTCTTTCTTTCTTTCTTTCTTTATTCTTTATTTTTTCTTTCTTTTTCCTTGTTTGTTTTTCTTTCTTTCATTCTTTCGTTTTTCTTTCTTACTTTCTTTTTCTTTCTTTTTTCTTTCTTTCTTTCTTTCCTTCTTTCTTTCTTTCTTTGTTTTTTCTTTTTTGTTTCTTTGTTTTCTCTTCTTTCTTTCTTTCTTTCTTTGCTTTTTTTTTTTTTTTGTTTCTTTCTTTTTTCTTTGTTTCTTTTTCTTTCTTTTTCTTTCATTCTTTCTTTTTCTTTCTTTCTTTTTCTTTCTTTCTTTCTTTTTTCTTTCTTTCTTTTTCTTTCTTTCATTCTTTCTTTTTCTTTCTTTCTTTTTTTCTTTTTTCTTTCTTTTTCTTTCTTTCTTTCTTTCTTTTTTCTTTCTTTCTTTTTTTCTTTCTTTCTTTTTTCTTTCTTCTATCTTTCTTTCATTCTTTCTTTTTCTTTCTTTTTTTCTTTCTTTTTGCACACGCGCCTGCTCTTTTCAAATCAGGGAATAATTCACGCTCTTCCTATTCCGGATTTTCGAGCCAAAGGAACCGCCCAAAGTCGCAATTCCGGAGATCAAAATATCGGCCAAATCATTCCAATTCCACGATTTCTATCGATGAGATCAAAGAGAGGGTCGAAAATGGAAATCATGGAACCACAAATAAGTAGTAAAGAAATGTCTGAGAGAGAGAGGGGGGCGTGCAGAACGAGAGAGGGGAGTAGTAGAGAAAGAAAGAGACGGAGAAAGATAGCGAAGGAGAAAGAGAGCTAAGAAAAAAGAGAGAAAAGCAGAAGAGAAAAGGAGGTTGAGAAAGAGAAAGAGGGCAGATGAGAAAGGGGGAAAGAGGGTGGGGGAAACAGCAGTAGACGAAACAGAGATAGGGAGAACGAAAGTGAGGGAGAGCCAGAAACGAAAAAAAGATAGTGAGAAAGAGCGAGGAGGAGAAAGAGAATGGAAAGAGAAACAGAGAAGGGAAAAAGAAAGCGAGAGAAGAAGAGAAAGAAAGCGGAGGGGGAGAGAGAAAGAGATGCTAAGAGAGAGAGAGAGAGAGGGGGTTATAGAAAGAGAAAGAAAGAGACAGAGGAAAAAAAGAGGCAAATAGAAATAAAGAGAGTAGAAAGAAAGAGAAAAATGAATGCTAGAGAGAGTGAGAGAAAAAGAGAGTGGAAAAGAGTGGGTAAAGAGAGGGAGAGGGGTAAAAATAGAAAGATAGACTGTGATCAGAGGGGAAGTGAAAGAGAGATAGGGAGAAAGAGAAAGAGAGAGAGAGAGGGGAAGAAAGAGAAAAAGAGAGGAAAAGGAGAGGGGGAATGGTTGGTCGATATCTGTAGCAAAGAGGACAGGAAATAACAAGAAACGGAATTATGGACATTACAAATTCTTCAGATCTTCGGATCGATTGTTGTTACAAAACCCAGTCATTAGAGCGTGGGTCGTAGACATTTAAGGTCCTATATTAGAATATTTTTTCATACGGGTTGCGATGGATAAATTGTCGCCAATTTATATTTTTAATTTCGCGCATGCGCCTTGTTGTTGGTTTTGTCGACTCCGCAGTATAATAGGGTCGGTTGGGCACTGTCTGTGAGAAAAATCGAACCTTGAGAAAAGAGTCTGGTTAGCAAAGTTCGAATTACAGTTATAAATACTGACTGGTACAGAATGTTAGGCCAAATAACAGTTTCCGTATAGGAATACAGGTTCGAATCCAATCGGAGAACACATATTTCCACGAAATCTCTCGAACATTCAGGCCGTAATGAAGTACTGCTTAATTAAAAATAAACCATTTACTTAAATAAATTGTATCCATAAAAAACATATAAAGAGAATATTATTGAATTTGTA